TTGAAAAGTAGTTATGCAACAAATGAGATACGCTAAAAAACTGTTAATAAATTTTCCTTTACATACATACTTATTTATGGTAATTGCTCCCCAGACAGTATAGTTAGTGGAAAAAGAAACTTTGAGCTTTCCAGTAGTCTGTCTGGTATAACTCAAAAAATTCATATGACAATTTATTTTTTTGTAAGATCAACAAATGTGACACTTAAATGGTGATAAACATTGAAGTCCCTATTAAATTAGTGTATTCAAATGATAGATGCCAAAACCGGTATTCAAAAAAATGAAGCTAAAATCTTCGGTGAAGAATGTTGCGTACTAAATTCAATGAATGCTTCAACAACAGCAAAGTTACCGTGACGAGAAGCAAAAAACTGAGCAGTTTGTTTCATTTGATATGAAAAAATGGTCAAATTTATTGTCGATCAAAGAAATTTTTTTTGAAGAAAAAAATAAAAATGCTGCATATAAAAAGAATATATTAACAAAAAATTATGTTATTTATACTTCGATTAATTAAAGTTTTTTTTTTTGCAAAAAATATTATCCAAAATAAGCAAAAAAAAAAAACCAAACCAAACCCAAACTAAAAGCATTTGAAAACAAATAAACAACTGCAAAGAAAATTCAAATGTGAAAATAAAACAAAACAGAAAGAAAAATCATTGATAATATAACTAAAAAAAAAAAGTTAATGTTACAAAATATAAAAATTTAAAAGCAAAAAAAAGCAAAAAAAAAAATAATCTATAAGTCAATCAAACAAAAAAATTTTTTTTTTACAAATATATTTTTTTTGCAGTACTTTTTCTGTGATTTTTTTTTTTGACACTTTTTCTTCTTCTTCTTCTTTGCTTCTCAGTAACCAAAACTGAATCAGTTGGATTTTGATACGCGCACACAGAAACACACAAATACAGAAATATCCACAGAAATAGCTGCCAGGCATAAACTGATAGCAATTTTTGTGATTCTCTTTCATCTGATCAATTCGTCAGAAAATTAACTTCTTTTTTCAGGGTATTAATATAGTAAAATAATCAACAAAATTAGGCATATATCAATCAACTTAAAACAGAAAAAATATGCTGTCATTTTTTAGAGCTGTACAAAAAAAAAGCTTCTTTTTCTGTATTATAGTTGCGTAAAATAAGAAGGAACAGTTAAGCAAAAAAATGCCAACAAAATTACTTTTCCAACAGTTAATTTTTGTCAGCATTTTTTTTTGAACTTTTCATAACAATCAAAGAAATTAATAATAATAATAATAATAATAATAGTAATAATAATAATAATAATAATAGTAATGTAATAATAATAATAATAATAATAATAATAATAATAATAGTAATAATAATAATAATAATAATAACAATAATAATAATAATAATAATAATAATAATAATAATAATATAATAATAATAATAATAATAATAATAATAATAATAATATAATAATAATAATAATAATAATAATAATAATAATAATAAGAGTGGTTATCTTTTTTTTTAGTCAATTTTAATGGAACAACTAAACAGAAAAAGAAGAAAAAAAGATTTTTTGA